GATATCGATAAGTGACATTAATTGTTAACGTTCTTCAATGTTTTGGGTATGATCAAATGAAAATTACTCAGTAATGGTTGTTATCATTTGAACTAAACTGATGGTCAAATGATTCCGAATTGGACGAGAATGACTAATCAAGAGTTTGCTATAATTTACGAAATAAAGTCGATTACGCATGTTACTGGTGTTACTTCAGCTGCATTGCTGGCTCTTTTTTCAAATTACGTGATGAGTTCCATTAGTGTGTGATTATGAAAAGTGAATTCGGGAAAAGTGAAAAATCTCTGTCTCAAAACCATTCATCCAACCAATTGCAAACAACTGAATGAACTCTGAAATAGCGGTCAAGCGGATCTCTGAGCAGACAAAATGTTTTTTACCTAGCGGCGGTGTATGCGTAATAAGAACATCAACATCCGACGGGATCATGTTCCACTTGTTCATGATCGATTGGCCGCGCGAACGATAGAACGAATAGCCAGGCATGGAATGCCACGGTGTGCCGTAGATTTTCAGTCCAAATAACTGAAATTAATGAATGACTGCATTAATTTTGGCGATATTATTTACGAACGGCATATAATGAAATAATGACTGGATTCGATGCAATCGGATAGACGAAACTGGACTGAAATAAGATCGAATGGCTCAAAAGCGTCGAACTAACCTCAATCTGTCGATCACATAAATAGATACAGTTGCTGAGCATCTCATAGGCCTTATTAATGCCAAGCATACTCAAGCCAGCCAACTGCCTGTCATTCATCTCTTCACCATCTTCGAAACCAATCTCGTGATTTCCAGCAATAACCAACTTATACTTATGCGGTAATCTTCCTGGAATATTGCACGAAAGAATAACAAGGTAACAAGGTTGTTATGTAAGGGATAATGTGAATTGTTCATAACAGAGACATATGAGCTTGTAATGAGTTACTATTGTAATTGCCATTTGAATGATTACATGAAATATCATTGGTCAATTGCAGATGCTAACTGCATTGCACTTCGTAGTTGGAAGGGATGGAAAGATGTGATGAACGAAGAGTGAAAGGGAAGTGAACGAGCGATAAGGCACCTACCTATTTCAGCGTTGAACTTGATCACCTCGCCGATATCACCATGATCAGTGAAATCACCCGCATGAATGAGCACATCACCGTCTGGGATGATTGGTAGAACCTCTTCGAGTTTTTCGTGTGTATCTGATATGCAAACGAAACGAATCTTATCCTCATACACAGGTGTGTTCAATCTAAATTTTGAACAAATGGGTTCATTATTGATAGTAATTGATAGTGATTTGTTGGTAACTGAAGTGACTGATAATTTTGATAGCAATTTATAGTGAACATCGAGAGTAATTTTGATTTAATTGCAAAATTTCAATTGATTTTGTTCCATTGTGTAGAGCAATTATGCAAAATTGAATGGAAGGAATATCATTTGAAGATACGCAATTTGTCTCATTCCCGTTTGGGTAAGTATTTGAATTAGTGCTCAACGGAAAGCAATTCTTTTGTTTTGCCCGGAAAGATTCCCGCCTGGGAGTGATTTATCTGGGGAGGGAGCAATCTAACTGAAAAATACGGGATCGCAACTTTCGGGAAGTAGAAAATAGCTCATCGAAATCCCTTTAGTCTCTACGAGAAATAGTTATTTGTGTGTATAGCAAAACTAGAATTAGAGTGCTTGACATATTACTGGATATGTCCCATCGGATTTACAAAATCAACAAGGTGATAATATGCAGCAAACCTGAGCGTTTTAGCTGGTTCACAAACGCGGCCTTGCCTTAGATACCTTCGCCACAATTCAACAGGTTTATTTGATAAAGGATCAACCGGAACATAGATTTTTTCAGTCATAATCAAGGGATTCTAGAATATGACTGCCGAATCCACGGTGTGCTAATATTTCTTGTGCAAAATGTTGCTTCGAATATACTAGGCTGCGGTGAATCTTCTCGAGATGTCTGCAACGACTGTGGTGAATAATCTTGATGTGCTCGAACTGAAACAGCAATTCAATAGGAACTTGGCGCATTCATTTTATTCTGACATCGCAGTCTGTTGACATTGCGATTCATCTTATAAAGATGCAGTCGATAGAAGGCACAACATGCTCACTGAAAAGTGTTGACACTCTATTGGAAATGATGCTGGTTACTATGACAAAAGGAATATCCGAAGCTTGAGTGCATAATTGAAAGTATCACTAAGGTCAAGTATAGATCTCAGCCTAGTGCTAGACTATGGTTGACTGAGTTTAAGTTGGGTTCAGAGGTTCAAGTTTTCGGAGTCAACACTCTTCAGTTAGCTTGATACAGCAATATCGTATTCTCTTGTAAT